ATTTGGGGGAGACTAGTACTAGAGATTTACTAAATGCAGTGAAAGGCGAAGAAAAAAATAACTCCTGCTCTCACTACCAGATGCTTCCAGGGAAGCTCCAGAGTTGTTTTTTTATGGGGTGATTTTTCACTTTCTCTCTCTCTCTCCTGAGTGCATATGTCCTATGGCAAAAACCTTGAAGAAATATGTCTTCTGGTTGCTTATTAAGGGTTCTAGAAGCAGCTAATTACTATATTTAGCATTTCATCAAAAAATCTTAGTGTATTCTTTAAGATGCTTGTTTGAAATGGAAAATGTATGTCTTTGGCAATTAAATTGTCCCTGTTGATTTTCTCACCTCTTTTCAGGACCTTAGTATGAGTATATACCTAAATAGAAGACTTTAGAAAATTGCTCCATGGAAGTGGAGTTCTATTTGATGTGTTTCAGAAAATGTGCTCTTTAGTCTTTCATGATGGATTCTTATGTTTAACCACATCCAGTTTTAGCAGAGCACACTGCTCAGTATTTTTCACCTAACCATGTCATCTTCTGCTCCTTTTACTTTGGAGCAATTGCTTTGCTTCCCGCTGGAGCTATTTATACTCCAATTTTTCTGTTCTTTGTGTTACCCATTCACCTATGCATAGACTAGGGTAGACCCAATAAAACTGGAATTTATGCAGTTTTGCTGTTAGCTGGTTTCCATCATGTGGTTAAATTAGACTCTGAATACAAAATTGACTCTAAACACTCTCACTCATGAGTTCTTATATCCTTGGATCTAAAGCAAAATACTTATAATGATTAAAGCAGAGTAACAAAAGGGAAAATAATAGAAAAACTTTACACCACCCATAGTTTCCTTCGATATAGAAAGAAACATGTTTGCAATATTGTTGCTTGGGAGAAATCCATTCCTCTCATCCAATAATGGAACTGGTATATTTCTTAATGGTCCCACTAACTGCACTTGAAAATTTGCCCTCTGAGGAAGTCAAGCACCCAGAAGAGAGAATGAAAATTAGGCGCTTTTGTCCCTGTATGTCTCGTCTTTTATGAGTCTCCATTTGGCTTTCTTTTCCTCAGGTCCTCCTGCCTGCTTGCCTTTTTATTTCTTTATTCTTTATTCCCACCTGACTCCTTCTCTAATCAGTCCCCCCAGTGATGTTCCTTTTTTTTTTTTGTACTTTAAAAAGTCAGCTTCCATGAGGAGAGGCTATTTCTCTATCTTTAAAGTATTTTAAAGCAAA